GATAAACAGAAATAGCGATGAAGTGATGATGGAAGATGAAAGGTCCGAAGGGTCTACAACAATTAACTAATTTTATCTGCTTTCATTTCTAATCAGCAGTTTGGGATGTTAAACTCTTACAAATTAGGTTTGAACGTAGACAGCATGGACAGCGCAACACCTCGCCTGAAAGCAACAACATGTAGCGTTCTCACCTTCAAAAAGTCGTTTTAAAGGTCAGTGAAACAGCACTAGTCTCTTTCTTGGTCAATCGTCTTGAAACACATATAAAGCAATGTTCATATTATAAAATCTAGCCAACAGTTCAATAAACTAACTGCTTAAAAATGATAGAATTCATCCTGTAGGGACCAATAAATCATCCAGATGATTGAGATATTTCACTCCAGATCAATTCATTGCAGAAACTGACAATACAAATCCCACATAACCTCTTCAACCTCTTTACTGAAGAAGTATATCCCCAGACACTTATGGAAACTGCACCAGTCTTGCCAAATGACCCATCAGCTTTAAAGAGTTATCTGTATGAATTCTCAAAATCCCCTTAGGGAGAAATAAATCCTCCCTCATTAAACCAGACTGGTGTCAGACAGAGTTGGATAAAAAAAATAAAAAAAACATGTATTTTCTTTTCAAATAGTCAGACAAACACAGGCTGAAGGAATCACTGCACCAGGATATATCAAGTAGAGTCAGATGAGCTGTCAGTCAAAAAGAATACAACAAGAACTTAATTCTGGTAATGTACTGCCCTATGTGGACAACGTCACCCGTTTCAAACTACATTTAAAAAAAAAAAAAAAATGTTTTGAAATCAGACTGTATTCAAAAATACTGCTACCATACTGTAAATGCTGGTGGTAAAATATATTGATAATAGTAAATCCTCCATTGCCAAAGCAGTTTCATCTTTTTTTGTGCTACACGAAGTTAAGTGATTTAATGGACAAAAACTGCTTGGTTAACGGGTGACACGCCAACATAACCTACAATTCAAGAAAGTTATTGTTAAGTCCTTTGTGGACAAGCAGCCAGAACATTTTCATGACTTGAAAGAGATAATAAAAGAAGTAGAAGACACAAAAAGAATGAAAGGGGTTGGGGAATTAGCAAGTAAAAGTAAAAGCAGACTGATGTAAAAACACAAGGAAGAAACGACATGATACAATACGATACAGCAAGATACAGTATGATACATTACAGCATCATATATTAGAGTAGGATCAACTACAGTATCATACATTACAGTACAGTAACAGCACATAATGGAACAGTATAGTATGGTACAGTAAAGGACCAGGATACAATATGATTAGATATGATACTGTACGATACACTTACATGCAGAAACATATAGGAAAAGTTAGAATAATCCTTAAGACAGATTTGTATTAAAAGAAAAAATGGTGGGGGCTTGGACTGTTGGTTTGGACAGAGATTAGAATAAAAAAAATCCTTTTGGAGGTATGACACAACAATTAGGTAAGAGAAACATCCATGCATACATTGGGCCAGCGTTAGCTAACAGCAGACAAACAAGAGCTGAAGAGAGGATGTAGATGTTTTGATCTGACAGTGACAGTGAAGGGTCACAACTGATCAGCTGCTATTAATAAACAGTACAATCCACTAAAAGACGCAGAGTGAAGGACGTGCTGTCTCAGCTGGTAAAAGAAAGAGTCACCATGTTTGATGTTTGTCTGAACGGTGTTTGAAACTTTGCTTTTGTTTTGTCTTACATTCAGGCATATTGACAGCATCTACATGTAAAAAAACACTTTCAGTACTTCTCTTATGTGCACCCTACTTTCTGAGAGAAACGTCAGAAATGTGCCAAGAAAACAGGAGCAATCACACTTTTACAAACCTTTCAGCTCTGTTCCTTTAAATTCCTACGGCACAGTCTCGGTCTTTTACTTGTAAAAACATCCACAAATTTCCAGCAAAACTATAAAAAAAAAAAAAAAAAATGTAAAAAGCCTGAGAGACGTTCTTATTCCAAAGTTTGAATCCATCACTGATGAAAGGTAGAAGGGGAAAAGCTTCCTTGTTCACTTCAGTCGACAACTCTGATTCTTGGCAGCAAGCTTCGAGGCAAAGCATGTTTGAATGAGAGCGCACAGCAGGAGACAGAGTGCACAGCAGGAAGAATGCAGCTGGCGATGGATTTGGAAGCTGTAAAAAGCTATTTCCCTCCATATTATTGTTTGAAACGGGTATAGAAAGATTGAGATGGGAAAACGTTCAGGATGTAAGAGAATGTGGGAAGAATTTAAGCTAATTATGCAATAGTAACCTCATTGACCAGCTCTCTCTTTAGAAAGGGGGACATGTGTCTCAAAGCATATCTGTCCTCGAGATTAAATACAGAGAATTAAATTTAAAACAAAATATGCCCATGGTAAAAGTGAAATACATTTTGAACCAGCAGAATGTTTATGTTTAATACAGACCAGATGTGTGGAAAGAGGCCTTCAATCCTCATCTCCAAATATGAAAACAGAGCCAATATATGCAAGAGTGTCGATATTTTTGAAAAAAACAAAACTAACAAAAAAGTAGGGCTGTCAGCATTAACTAGTAAATCACGATTAATTAAGGTTTTAATTTAATGCATTATTATTTTTTAATCCCGTTAATCATGAAGATACTATTTTGATGCTTCAGACGCACCGTCGATAAGCCTCCGCAGTGTCTCCCTGTAGTCACAGCGATGGAAAGGAAAAACACTGCTGCATCTTTGAATGTCTCATTTCACTTCGAGACAGTCAAAAGTGATATCCACCCCATCAAACATCTTACTTTATTACCGTTCATTTAAGCTTTTTTCACATAGTTTTTGATCCGTAATGAGTTCCTTTTTCCCTGGTTCCCTCCGATCTACCGGCAGGTCCTTACTTTATTTCAAAATAAAAGCAGGTCTCCATCAAAACATAAAGTTAAGTACAAACATTCCAAATAAAAGCCTAACAATGTCTATTTTCAAATGCAATATAATGGAATTTTAAAAATGAAATTAATCGCAATTAATTCAGCAGTTCATCATGATTTGAAAAAAATGTTAACTTTTGACAAACCTACAAGAAAGTAATTTCTTCTGAGCAGAAATAAAAGGTTTGTACCATTACAAAGCCCCAGTGCTAGAATCTGGGTCCATTCAGTGATGACTTTTGTGTCAGTTACTCTACAACAGTTCTATTAAAAACGCCACGGCCCAATCGTAACCACACTTCACTAGTGATGCAGCACAACAGAGCAGAAGCGGTTGTTGTGGTTTGCAGTCCCTTGCTCTGCTCCATCAGAGTAAATCATAGAGAGCAAAATGAGCTATGCCGAGAACCCCACCCCCCCCCCAAAACCCATCCCACTCAACCCCTCAATCTCTGGAGATGTGTAACTGTAGGCCTTTGGAGAGAGGCAATGCGTTCCCACGGGAGATTCAATTCTAGAGACTGTTGCGCCCTGGGAGCAGCGGGAGGATATTAGCTTATCTGAGAGCAGAGGTAAAGACAGAGGCAGAGAGGGCTATCTGTACACATTCAACACACCAAATCCCACTCTTATATTTGTGTCCATGTCGTCCTCTGTGACTCTCTGTTATCTCAGTGTGCTAACAGCCCCACAGCTCTGCCAACGAGGTGAGCACCAGCATGAGCGTTAGTGTAATCTCATTATCTTAAACAGCCCGTTTGGCTCTGTGTCTAAGTACTACGGACGCTGTACGGCCATGCATTCATTCAGTAGGCTTAACCTCAATGACAAGCTTATGAATGAGATCTTGTATTCACAAAAAAAAAATCTCACTTTCTACTAGGACTCTGAAAGGTCAGACTGTGCTCAGCACAAGAAGTATTACATGCAAACATGCACTTTAGAACCTTTCAAAATAAAGCTGCCAGACATATTTTATCCCATCTATAATACATCATGTAAAGAAAAAAAATTCAATTGAGACAATATTCTGCATACAAACCACGTTATGTCACACATGACGGACACGGTCTAGGTTTGACACATGCCAGGTCCAGAGGGGATCCAAGTCTCTCTGACACTGTGGCTTTTTTATTATTGTTGCCATCTTTTATTTATAGACACACACTGCTGCCTCGGGGGAGGGGGGGAAGCCAATAAAGCGGCATGACTCAGTGCTCAAAGGGAAGGACCTCTTACAAAATGTTGCCCTTTTTACAACTGTAATGTGTAAGCACAATCACTGCATGACCTTGCAATGTCACTTGCGACATAAAGACATAGATAAATCACAAAGTTGTTTAAAAACATGCATTTTACTTGCCAGGCTTGCAGTCTTGATCTGTTTTATAGTCTCTGTCAAGGAATTGCTCCGTTCTTAATATAGTGACGTCACACAAATCAGTGACTCCAGTTGGGGTTAACGTTCTGGTAAACCTTATATTTTTATTGCTATTTTAACACATAATTATGTTAATGTCTTAGAGGGGATAATAAATCATGGTACTAAACCGGTGGATAGACTGGCATACATACTGATACCATATAACACGTTTCAGGCAGGATCACAGGCTAATAAGGATACTAGTTTCAGTATAGGTATTGGTATTGATCAACGATACAGATACCAGTATTAGTATCAGTATTGATAAGGTTATGGATATGAATCAGTGTTTTGACAAGGATACCAGTATAGGTATTGTATCAGAACAATTCTACTATTTGCTGTGTAGACAGACCTGCCCCCTGAAACAGAAATCAAAACACCCTACTCCTTCCTAGTCAGCACATTTCTCATACTGCAGCCTGAAGTAAACTATCTCCTAGCTTTTCCTTTTTCTGGAAATAAACTAAAATCTCACACACTCATGCACCACTGTACACACTGGATATAGTACAGTTCATGAATATGAGATAACGTTCACAGTTTCTGTACTAGAAAAAAAGCTCTTTAGATCAGAATTGGGAGGAATGACTGAAAGCCGTGGGAGAAAAAAGGAAAGCAAAGGGAGTGGAGTTTTGCTTACCTCATCATAAGTGTAGCGATAGTCGGCCTTCTTTGATTTCAAATCCCACAGGACCACGATCCCAGACTCAAATCCAATTATAAGCTGGAGAGGAAGAGCGACAGGCAGTCAGTGAGATAGGTAGGAGAGATGACAGCGCCGAGATAGAATAGACCCCATGATGGGTGAAGAAAGAAGTAATACATTTGACATTCACACGCAGCATGAAAGGAAGTCAGGTGTAAGCCGGCTACAGGAGCTGAGGAGGAAACCTGCCCACCCCAGTGCACATGGGACGATAATGCGAGAAGATTTTTTAAGAGCACAAAGTGAAATGTTTTCTTTTTTGCACCTGCAAGGCTTATTTATAGAAACAACACCTAGTTTCAAGGTCTTAAAAAAATAAGGTGATTAATAGATAGTGATGACAGAAATATGTTATTCCTTCCTGTAGTAAAGAATACTGGTCCAAATTTTAACAATTGTTTTTAGTGAATAAATCATTCAAGAAATATTGGTTCAAAATGTATACGAGCACTGCACAAAATTAAGTTAAAGCTTATAGATAAATCATAAATGCTAAGATTGGTACATTCTGCAGGGGAAAAAAAGTTATTTACCTTTCCCTCGTCCATGGGGTTGTCACTTATGTGGACGACTGGTCCGGGGTGAGCCTTGGACGACCTTACGAGGGAGACAGAGAGAGAGACATATTAGAAGTCATTTCCACATTCAGCTGTGATGCAGACTTAAAAAAAACGAGGCCGCAGACACACGGTTCATAATGATGTATGGAGAGGGTTAAGGTGTCTTTGAACCTGAGGAGGAGGTCCACTGGGTGGGACGGAGCTGCCAATCACTCCAGGCTCTAAAAGGCTGTTCAAAGACATAAGCTCACTTAAGGTTTTGATGGATGGCTCTGTCAGGCCAGGCAGTCCCCAATGGCTGTGTGTGTGTGTGTGTGTGTTCGCAAGAGTTTGTGCGTGTGTGTCCATTTGCATGTTGGCGGAGAAGGCAGCACAAAATGTTCGGCCGTCCCTCTCCTCCTCCTGTCTGTGCTTTACCCTCCAGACAGCCTTATGTCAAAGCTCCGCTCTGGGTGTGCCACGTGGCTTCAGAATTCACCAGACCTGGCCTGCCTGACAGAGAGGATGCTGGCGGAAGGAGCACCCTTGGAAGGTCACATGTGAAAAAGAGTTACTGTTAAAGCCTGAAACAAAACCCTGGTACCAGGAAGCAAGGTTAAGGATGCCTGCCAAGGAGAGGAAGAGGAAGTAGCTGGAGCTATATTTAAGTCACGCCAAAGGAGAGAAGGCAAGGTCCTTGTTTTGCCACAAGATCTTTTTTTTTTTAAAGAAGATTAAATCAAGTCCAAAAGTGGGACATTATCAAGCAGTCTCCCTGTATAGTATTTTGAATTTGGTATGACAAATCTGTACCACAATTTCCATCTATGCATCTAAATTTCTATGTTTATTTAACTGTACTTAACTTGATAAAACCCAATCAAAATATGTGTTTTGGATAATTAAAAATCAAAAAGGCAGAGGAATGTGCCAACTTTATTTCTTCATTTTATGTAAGCGTGCTGGAATAGATAGATATACTGTAAGCTAAGGGCTATAGAAGGGAAGCATCTACAGCTATGTGTGTGTGTGTGTGTGTGTGTGTGTGTGTGTGTGTGTGTGTGTGTGTGTGCGTGTGTGTGTGTGTGAGAGAAGGTAGCAGTTAGTGGGCAGGCAGTCAGTCAGTTGTCTCTAAATTTAGCCTGTTTGTGCTGGAGCCTTATTACCTAAGCTCTGCTGCAGCTGGAGCTGTTGATTTATCTAATCCCCCTTCACTGCCTGTCTCTCAGCTAGTAGCTGTCCACACACACACATACACACACACACACACACACACACACACACACACACACACACACACACACACACACACACACACACACACACACACACACACACACACACACACACACACACACACACACACACACACACACACACACACACACACACACACACACACACACACATTTGCATGTCGGTACAATTAAGAGACATCTTAACACCCAACCTGTTTGTAACAAAACCACATCCATAACAAATAATTACCATCTCGCTGAATACCAAAATGCAACTTGCGCCCACAAAAGCTTCACCCTGCTGTTGTCCCACATGGTTTATTTCCTCTTGTTTGAGGATATTATGCACAATATTCTGTAACAAATCTGTTTTGTTCAATCCTGTTGTTATACAGTAAACAAATCTGAAATGAACACATCCAAAAAGTCCACAAATGCTTGTTCAGGTTTGGAGATAAAGGAATCACCATGGCAACAGAGGCAGGATGGGCAGAGAGCTGACAAAAAAAAAAAAAAAAAAAAAAGAAGGCTCCCAAAAAATCATCCACACTCTGCCACAAAAACACAGACCCACCCACATACACAAACAACACCTGCATAACTACTTCAACACGCTCCTGTGAAAACACAGTTCCGCCTGTTTCCTGCTAATGAGACTGCATTTTACATAGAGAATTTATTTAAAAAAAAAAGGCTTTGGGGACAATAACATCCAGGTAGGTGAGTCTGTTTTGCATGTTCCCACAGACTGATGCTGTTGTTGTACACATAAAAAAAACACACACACAACCACTTCAGTTAAACTTAGCACCCCCAAAGCAAATATAAGGTTGTTCAGAAATACATTGATTCTTTGGCACTTTCAGTTCAAACAGTCTTTTTTTATTTATATTTTTTTTAACCTTTATTTGCACCTGATATTCTTTTTATATCAAATATTTGTCCCAGTTGGTGTTGGAGAGAATGGACCACTGATGTGCTGCATTTGTGTTGCAAAAATACTCACGCACCATGAAGCAACTGTCTGCATGTGTGAAGGCGACACAGGGGAGATGTTTAAGCAATAGACAGAGTAACACCTCATTGAATCTGAAAACATCCCTACAGTGCAGACACACCCTCCTGTCCTATTACACACACACACTCACACACACACACACACACACACACACACACACCAGCCTTTTATTATTCTGATATTATGCATGTATGATGATAGCACACGTACCTGAGCTTATCCACACACACGGCCACATGCACGCGGCGCTGACACACATATGCACACTGCAGTCTTGAACATCTGGTGTCACAATGGGTGACATTCTGAGAGGCAGCACGGGCGCAGTCACCATAACAGCGTTTCCGCAGCAACATGGCTGGAACAGCCCGTACCATATGTGACCTCATATCACCTCTGTAGACTGGACTGTTTGTGTGTGTGTGTGTTTGTTAATGTGTAGTAGCTTATAGAATGTAAGTGATATAAAGTCAACATCCATTATCCTACGGGCCCCTCAGAATAAAAAATTCTGACGCAAAAAAAAAAGATGACAAAAAAGAGAATCTTATTTTGTCTAATTTCCATCTTCAAGACAGAAAATAGACATTTTAGCCATGGGCTTGTACGGATCTAGGTTTACTATACCCCCCCCCCCCCCCCCGCTAATTTAGGCTCACCAACTCAATGCTAAATGTTACTGTAGCATCATATTTATAAAACAGATGTATGTGGTATTGATTGGAATCTTTGCAGCTTATTAGCTTAGCTGAGCAGAAGGGTTGGGAACAGTGGGCAACAACATGAAATAACAAGTTAACTCGATGTTCTGTTGATTACAAGTTTTAACCATAATATGGAGCCAGGCTAGCTGTTTTCACCTGCTTCCTGGCTGTATGCTATGCTAAGCTTCTCATTTCTTTTTCTGTAGCATCATTTTCACTTGACAGATTTTAAGTGATATTGATCCTCGGTTGCAATCTTTCTTTCTAAAGCTAGCTAGCTTGGAGCGCCAAAATTGAGAACAGTGGGAAAACGCTACCCTGGCTTGAAATCAATTATCTGCTAATGGTTTGAGGGCGCTGTTAGATGAATATTAGCCATTTATAAAGAGCTAGGCTAGCCGTTTCACCCGTTCCTGTCTCTATGCTAACCTTAGCTTATCTCCCTGGTGTACTGTAGCTTTAGATTTATAGGACAGCTACTAGATTGATAATGATCTTCTCAACCGTCTTATTGCAATATGTAAAAGAATCATTTAAAAACACTACTAAGTGTTTTCTGTACAATTTACTTGCACAAGAAGTGTATTGGCATTGTTTTTAATTTAAATTAACTGAAAAAGATCAAGCAACGGACTTATCTGAACATTTCTAGAATGAAAGGAAGGCAGAGGCAGCACCTTATGAGCAGAGTCATGATAGCTCACAGATATGTATTATTAATGCACTGTTCTGAACAAAATGTCTCTGAATTAGCTCACTGATCTGTAATTTCCATCTTTAATTACATGAGGTGTTACATGAAAGCTTCTTCCCCGCAGGAAAGGTCACTGTAGGGTGCTTATACCTGGAAACAGGGGGTCCTAGATCCATATTAAATGGCTTGACGATACCTGAGGCTATGATTCTTCCTCAGCAACACACTGCAGTGCCAGTTAAGGTCCTCACTTAACTGAATAGAAAACCACAGAACCCAGGAAACATACGTACATGGATGCATGAAATATCCAACCAAGTTTTAACCACAGCTTCAGGGTCATTAGTGGAAGAAAATGATAGAGGACGTAGGAGACCTTAGGCAAATATGTTCATGTCACATAGGAGGCTGTTAACATTTTACCATTCCTGTCCCACTTCTCTGTGGCTGTTTGTACCCAGCGACCATCTCGCTAAATCAAATCAAACACGAACACTGACGCCTGCCAGGTACGAAAATATAAACAGTCCTGCATATAAAGTGCATTAATGCGAACAAATTATGCATGGAAACACAGATTCACATGCCTTACTGTAATGTCCTTATTGCCCACAGCACTAACCGAACTCCTGTGCTGTGCTCTTAGTTATGTACTGTACAACATGTCCAGTAGTCTTTCCAGTACAGTAGCTTTGGAACAGAGGTGTGAGTCACACAGACACACGGAGCACAGGGCCAGTCCAGGCCCGGGGCCTCTGGCACATCGACTGCAGCCTGTCTCCAAATAGCAGGGCCTGAGGGGTGATGACCCCAGTGCTCTCCATAGCCAAGCCTCATAACAGCAATCACAGCAGAACAGAAGTGAAACAGGAAGAGAATGAAATCAAATCTTTCTTTAATAATGTTCTCAATGCGACTATACGCTCTGTAGTTGATGTGACAGCCCCTGCCGAGATTGCTGGAGTTTGCATGCTGCACCCATTGTAATCTAAATGTTGTCCTTCAGCTGAAGGAGGAGCCTGGTTGAAGTGAACACCCTGATGTGGAGTATAGAATCCAATATGATCAAAAAGCTGCAGCCTCAGCTGCTCAGCTTCCTCTCTACTGTGCCTTAACCTGCAAACTTTTCTCGCTTAGATTTTGCTTGTATTTTACCCGTATTTTTCCTTCTATTTTCCTTTACAATACATTGCTTTCAAAATGTTTGTAAACACATGTTTGCATTAACACAACTAACCTCACTGTACATAACATCTCTCATCCATATTTGTCTACAATCTGATTTTGTTGTCACTCAGCAAGACACCTTACATCATCATTTTGATGAAGTAATGATGGTATCAAAGGGACTAAAGTAGAGAACTCCTACACAACTCCATGTATGAGCAAGATGGAAATTCAGGT